TGCTACCCGTTTTGATGTCACCTTTGGTATGAGAGATATAGGAAATGTTTTTTGGCCAGCAAAGTTCTTCCCATCGTCTCCATGTTCTTTACAAGGAGTTCAATGGTGGAAGGCAATTTTTGAGAATGCCTGTCAAGCCACATTGCTTGCTGAAAGTGCTTCTCAGTCTCCTTCCCGTTATTGCAGCGATGCATTTAGGTAGGCGATGTGAGGGTGCTTCTCTTCCCTTCTGCTTGCTGAAAGTGCTTCTCGACCTCTCTGCTTGCCTTTGCATCAGTGCGATTAAGATGGCAATCAAGGTCAGTTCACCCTCTTACTTGGCGATCAATTGAGAGATTAGTTTGCTCTCAATTGTAGCTTATAGAGCATTTAGTATTTTGTATCTCACAATTTGTAATGAATGTTTGATAATAAAGGAATTTATTTGAACGTATTTCGTTCTGGCCCTTTTTATATACGATCGTTCAACGCGATTTGATTACGCTTTTATTTGTTCACTTTCCCATAAGGAAGGAACATATTTTTTTAAATATTTGTCATTAATGAACCTCATGTGCTTGGTGCTATCTAAATCTTCCAAATGATAGGCTCCATTAGGCAACACACTAATTACTTTATATGACCCTTCCCAATTGGGCGACCACTAGCCATATTTTGGATCCTTGCTATCCAAAGGGAGTATTGTTTTCCAAACCAATTCGCCCAGGCTAAATGATTTGGCTATAACTTTTTTATTATAGAACTTAGCCATCCTTTATTTTTTGAACTTGCAATCTATCTAGGACGTCCTACTTTAATTCATCCAACTCCAATAAGTTTTGAACTAGTGATTCGGTATACTCATCATCACTTAACTTATATTGCAAACACACTCTGATTGATTGCATGTTGATTTTTATAGGCAAAACGGCCTCCTGTTCATAAGTAAGTTGGAAATGAGTAATTTTAGTACTTGATCGAGGCGACGTCCTATAAGCCCATAAGGCCTTGTTTAGACATTCGTGCCAATTTTTGGTATTTTCATCTATCATTTTCCTTGTGATATTTTTTAGAATCTTATTAGAAGATTCTGTTTGCCCATTGGATTGAGCGTAATACGGTGTGGAGTTCACTACTTTAACCCCAAACTCGCTCAAGAATTTATTTACTTGATCTCCATTTAAAGAAGTTCCGTGATCTACCATCAAAGTTTGTGAAATCCCAAATCTATAAATGATATGATCACGGATAAATTCTATGATACTCTTTTGGGTGATTTCTTTTAAAGGTACTGTTTCTACCCATTTAGTGAAAAAATCAGTCGCAACTATAACAAAAGTATGTTGTTTGGACGATGGGGGATAAATCTTCCTTATCGGGTCTATCATCTAACCCTTAAACGGCCAATATTTGATAATAGGTGTCATCTCTCGTACTGGCGCCCTTTGTATTGGACCATGCTTTTGGCATGCTAGACAACTCTTTGCATATTGAACACATGATTCTCCCATCTTGGGCTAAAAATATCCATTCCTAATAATTAACCATCTCATCCTTTGACCAGCTTAATGAGCTCCACATATCCCTTCGTGCACCTCAACCATGATTTTTCTGACTTCTTGCGAACTTACACATTTTAGCAATATACCATCAGAGCGTTTCTTAAACAACCCCTCATCTATCAGTATATAGTTTAGCAAACGTAACTTTATTTTTCTATTATCTCCTTTATTTGGTTCTTTAAGGAACCTTTTAATCTCTGCCCTCCAATCTATTGCATCTCCATCTTGTATGCAATGAGTTTCAATCATTTTCTTCTTCTTCTTTCTCTTTGTTCTTGAACTCATTGGCTAGTAAGTAATTATTAGTTATGATAGGAGGTAACGTACCGAACTGAATAGTAAGGGTCTGATCTGGATCTTCTCCATCCGTTCTGTCTCGTTCAAACTTCGATATCCCAGAAGAACTTTCTGGCAATTCTTCCATCGATTCGCCTGTACCAGGCTCTTTACTGTCTTCAAGAACATTTTGATTGGCCACCTCGAGTAATTTAGGCGCCTTAGGACGTGGCATTCCCTGTTGTTGCCTCATCATTCATCCACAGTTCCGTTGAAAATGCCTTTGTTGGGTTCTAGTCATCTCGTTGAAGGGTATCACCCTTCCTGCGTTATACTAGAATGAATGCCATACATTTGGTTAACGAGGTTGTGGCCTAAATGTTCTCCCATTATTTGCTGGCCTGAATTGCCTCTCAAACGACGATCCCCTATAGAATGACGTACCTTGCCCTCTACCAGGGTGAGCGTTTGGGAAAAAACTAGGGCGATGGTGATGCTGCTATATCCCTGGTTTCTCTGTATTTGCACTCACTTCTCCTTTGCATCTTGTACACAGGACGTCTTCATCCTTTTTGAGCTCCTTCCCTTTGATACGTTCAAAGACACTGGGATGTGGCCCGGGGTCCTCTTCCCCGTCATCTATAACCAACTTGAATTTTGACAACTTGTTTTTGAAACCAATCGTCACCATGTTCACCTCAAGTGGCTGTGGAAAAGGGTTTTCATCCACTGCCATCTTCTTCTTATCTTCGAACGTAATTCGTCCTGATTCAATGGTGTCCTTCAACACATGGCGAAAAACCAAACAGTTATTAGTCACATGTGACCATACATTATGCCACGTTCAGGGCTTGACAATTTATATTTATCGCTCAGCTTTATATGTTTATCCTTATATAGTTTATCAAATATAAGGTCAGCTTTGGTTACATCAAACGAGAATGTTCTAGTCCTTTTGTTTTCATCTTTTATAGATTCATCCTTGCCCGACGGTCTAGGCTTAGCCATTATAGGACAAGTATACGTATCTCCTTTAATTAATTTGGCCAAACACATTTCGGCTTGATCGTAATATTCGTCATTAATGATATGAACATCAAAGTTTGGGTCTTTATAATAAGTCACCTTACTAGAGTTTTTCATTTGCTTTTCTTCTCTTATTAATCGTTCATACCTAATCACGTTTGCGCTCAATTGAAAAAGATTAGGAAATTCCTTGTCTTGGAATTTCTTTTTCAAATCAAAACTTAGACAATTTTGGACGATTTTGACAAACTCCTTTTCGGGCAAAGTTACAAAACATTTACTTCTTGTCGTCTTGAACCTTTGAAGGAAACCTTCTGTCCATTCGTTTGGCATTTGACACAGACTCGCCAAATCGGCCAAAGTAATTTTAGACTCGGTCTTATAAAACTGAGCATGGAACAATTGCTCTAATTGTTGCCATGTTTGAACAGAGTTTGTTAGCAAATTGATGAACCAGGAGAAAGCTATTCCTGTTAATGAACTAGGGAACAACCTCATTTTATGGTAGTCTGTTACTTCACCACTTTGCAGTGTGAATCGCCCTATGTGTTCTAGAGTAGACACCTCTCCTAAACCGGTAAATAGTGAGAATTCTGGCACTTTATACCCTCTAGACCATGGATATGCTTGGTCTACCCAATTAGGATATGACTTTGTGTAAGTCGGCCTAATGACAGGACGTACCCTAAAGGCCACTTGATCCTGTACTATTTCCATAAGTTGGTTTCTCAACATGACGTTGAGATCATATGGAATTCCTATAGGTTGGTTGGTCGGTTGATTTGCCTGAGACCTGATGTTTGGTCCTTGATTGGCAACAAAGTTGTCATTATTTGGACCATTGTTGCCATTAGCCTGAATATTTATTTCATCATTGACACGTGGGGTATTCTGTCCATTATTTAAGACATTGTCTCTTATATTTATGTTACCTCCCAAGTTAACTGTATTATTACCACTATTCTGATTTGACATTACACCATCCCCCTGGTTTGAAGTAGAGGGATGAAAAGGTGGTTCTATCCCTTGACTTGGACTTAGGACTGATGGATTATGTCCCACAATTGTCCTAACTTGAAAGTGATTTGCAAGAGGCACAACTGACTGACAAATTTGGCCTACTAACTTATTTATTATTTCATTCAAAGTATTCAATTGTTTGGCCATGTTGTCATAATGTGCATTCCCATTTTGGGTAAATCTTTCCATATAATGAATATTTCATAGATTTACCTGTTCAACGACATCCTGTGTGAGTTCTCCAAGTAATGCACTCATGGTTCGAGGACTCAACTCTGTCATTGACTCGTAACGACTGTGATTGCTCTGACTCTGTCCCTCTGTTCGTGGAGAGCTATGCAGCTCCTCATATCGCTCGATCACAGACTGGACTCCTCCATGACTTGCTACTTCCTTATCAGATTTGTGAGGCATATTGTTTCACCTTTCGTATCTTCAACACCAAACACCAAGGGTCCCACTGGACATGCCAAATTGTTTCGCGCGAGTAGTCGCTAATAATTAAAAAAGGGATCAGACGATTGTGTAAGGAACAAACCTCTTGAGACAAAGTCCCAAAAAGGGGTATTTTATTGGCGATATTTTACAATTGGAACTAAACAGAATGCCTCCAAGGGGCGCAAG